TCGTAGTCCGATTTCCTATGATCTTGCCGGGAATTGGTTGCACCTATAGTCCTGCTGATTGGCTTGTCCTTATGATGAACACGTAGAAGGCGCCGGCCCCTGCGGGAGGGAGGGAGTGGAGGGGCTGTGCTTAGGGCATTCCCAGATTTTTTCGCTTTTTTCACTACTGATGAGTTTTTGATGGGCTATTGGTTCATGAATGACCATCTGCTATTATACTTGATCGCGGAAATTGTCTTCAGAGCGCTGACCGTTGCTCGAAATGCGAACGCAAAGTATGAACGCACTCTCAGCGCCGAGAACGCGATCCCTTCATGTAACTTGCTGAAACTGCTTCCTGTTATTTCATATTTATTAAGTTTTTAGGAAAGAATCCGACCTTGCCTTTGAGGCCCGTTTATACTCGACGATTCAGCGGAATCAGAGAATATGCGAAAGGAACAGATTAGTATTGATCTGAGAAGATGCGAACTAGCCCTTATAAAATTTGGCCCTTCTCATGGTTTTTCCAATTCTCGTATAACACCCGATATGAACGCCGCTCCGGTAATCAGCGAAGGCGCCATGCTGTCTGAGGTGCGATCTCGTCTAACAATAAGAGTAACACGTCATTTGAGCTCGTCCTTATCGAGCTTAAACGTCTCTCGGGAACCTTTGATAGCTTCTAGTTTGCTTCTATTTTGAATAGTTTGTAATGTTCGTACAGTCATGCTGTCTCCGAACGATAGGGTGTGTGACGAGGCGCGAACTGGAACGTGCCAAGGCCGCACCAATGATGCCATCCCTAGTCCGCAACCATTGGCGGGAAATGTTGTTCAGGTTGCGCTCCAACTCACGCCCCTTCGCCCGCCCCATCGTTTGGGTGGGTGACAAGAGAAGCGTTCAGGCATCGCGACGGCTGCGCTTCGGTTGCGCGTTCGACGCGGTCGATGCGCATGCTTTCGACTGCATCGATCGTGCGAACGCGCGACCGAAGCGCGGCCGTCGCGAAGTCTGAACGCTGCCTAGTACCGCGCTGATGGGCGACGCAGTGCAAATGACGATGGTTCCAGGTACAGATGGCGACAACAGGCAATTCAGAACCGAAAATAGTCATGAATGTCTACGATGACGGGTCTACATGAAGTCCGGTGCTCCAATCGACAGGTTAAGAAGACGCCGCCCCCATCGCCGCGCGCGGCGTAGCGGCAAATCACAATTCTTTTGCCCGCCTCCCCATCGTATACTCATGGCTATACATATCTGGATCGCTGCCAGGAGTACTCTCATAGAACCCACTTAATTAAGTAGTTTCCTTGGAGTTATGCGATAAGTTGTAGTGGCGCTGACCTTGAACACCTCGTGAACTTTCTTATTCATACACCCCTTGATATCACGTTGCTATTGTTGTCTGTATTGATAGCATATCACATGGTAATTCTTTATCATGATGTTTCTCCCTTGCGAGCTTGCATGCCTTCTCAGCTCATAATGTGGTGTACGTTAATTTCAGCGCACTTTTCTAGGTCAAGTCTGGTTGAATTACACAGTTTTGAAATTCATCTCTGCGATTTTCTTGTTTAAACTGTGCTGGTCGTTCAGCAATATTACAATTCTTATGGCTTGAAGTGGAGTGGGTTATGTCCCCTCCCCCCTCGGAGTTGAGACTCAATCTGGTAAGCATCAAAACGGTGGAACACAGTCCAAGATTGTCCTATTGTGCAAAATCCATTAATCTGGCGGTCTGTAAGCACAAATGATCAACCACTTTCTTAGTGCGAAAGAGCTTGGTAAGAGTGCTAGAGGTCTGCGTTAAGTGACGGGCTCTACCCCCTGAACTCGGTCTCCGCCCTTCATTTCATCGCAGTGGTGGTGAGGCCTCGCTCTTCTGTCAACTCTCGTCATCTGGTCGTCTGCTTCTCTTGTGCTCGCCCGGTATATCTTCGCAGTATGTCCGCTTTAATACTGAAATCAAAAGGGGTCGCATTTGGAGCGTTTTCGACTGTTTTTTTTTGCTTCTTCATTTTAGCTTGAGTAGCAAATATTCTGTGGTTTTAAACCGCAGTAACCACAATTTGCAATCGTGTACTGTCTTTAAGCCTTGTGTGGGAATCCTAGCTGGAAAGCGCATCACTTTTGTAAAATCTGATTTCTGTCTGAATTCCGAGGGTTAGAATTCTGTGGAAACAGCGAAAGGGCAATGCAGCAGTTCTGGCAAATTTCCGAAGATAATGAATTTTTCTTTTTTGAATAATCTCGCGAACGTTGTCGTGACTTTTAGTTCATATTTTCCAGGCAGCACCATGTTAACAAGGCGGATAGGCGCTGCCTCTTATAATCTCCACAGAGCAGCCTCAACATTCAGGTGCCCATTTTCTTTACTTTACTGCGTCAGAGTTACTCAAATTTTTAGGATCTGATTTTAAGGCTCATCTTCTTTAGTTTCTCCCTTCCTCACAAGGGCCAAAGGTTACAATTGTTTCTTCTTTTTTAGTGGATTAACATCTGAACAGTTTATGAAAAAAGCGACAAATGAGCCAATTTTGGAATACAAGAAAGGGAGCAAGGAGAGGCAAGAGTTGGAAAAGGAATTGGAGATGTTGAGTAAGGTAAGAATAAGAGTTTACTAGAAGGGCTATTTATATTTATTTATGTTCATATTCATGCACTACAAGAGTGCGCTAAAGTGAGCGCAGTATGGCTCGGGGGGGGGGGGGGGGGGAGGAGGGGTGCATTTTGCACTTTCGTTACCTTTGTCGGATTGACTGTTTTTACAAAAGTTGACAAGTTGTCTCTACAAACTCCGACTTGTTTCTACTTCATGGCATCACAAGGTTTCATAGGTCTATACTTGATAGCTCATTGATGACAAGTAGCTAGCATGCAAAGTGCGCTCCCCCCCAGGCCTAACTTCGCCAAGTCATAATTGCGGGAAATAGTATCCAGGAATCAATCATAATACCTTGAAGCGCATACTCGATTGGCATGGCGCAGAAACATGTAGTTTCATTATTAAAACTAAGTGTAAGAAATCGATACGATTGTTACTGTAGCTGGACAGCCAAAGTGTGTAACTTATGAATATTAATAAGGATTTACTATTAATTATTAAAATTATAATATGTTGTTCTGAATTCATTGAAGCTGCTTGTTTGCATTGAAGACACCTGTAACCGTTTTACAGACACCCACAGATGTTCCACTTAGGATCGGCACTAAGAAAATCCACAATGAACTTCTACGTGATCAAGTTATGGTGAGTTTTTTGGTAGTCATACCTCTCCAAATCTGATTTGTTGTACATTTTTTAAAACATTTTTTAGTTTCTTACTTAGCTTTAGTTTCTTGCAGAAGTGTTTGAGTTCAGGGCAAGGCGGCCCGAGGGAGAGGGTTAAAAGGTTGCTCAAGCAAAATTAGAGTGAGCACAGTCCAGAACCTCTTTTGCACCGAAGAAATTGCTCTTCCACTCTGATTGTGAAGTCTAATGCAGTAATCCTCACTGGATCACCCAGCTTTGCACAAGAAGTATCTTGAATGCCCCCCCCCCGCCTCACTGTCCGACTTGCCTTTAACTTCTGACTCAAAAGTCCAATGTTTTTGCATAGTCGTACAGCAGGAGTATCTTAACACCCGCTCAGAATTGCTACTACCAGTTCCTGCTGCTGTCGCTGTACTTTAGCAATAGACCTTGAACCTATCTCGCTAGACGAGTGTTCTTTACCCAACCACGACAATGTCAATGTTCTTTGGACTGTGACCAGACACCTCGCACCATAGCTCGTTATCGCATCGGCGGAACTGGAACCCGTATCTCCCTTATCTTTTAGACTGCCGCGCCCGTGCAACTTGCGCCATTTCACTCTTGTCTGTAACACCATATTGTTTAAAGAAAATTTTTCATTGTTATCTGTTCATTTGAGTACGAACTTTGGCGCCATTTGTCTGGTAGGGGCATTTTGCAGTGGTGCTATTTGTCTGGTAGGGGCATTTTGCGCTTTCGCTAGCTACTTTTACTGGTTCCAGCTGAATTATACTCATTCTTATTACAGTGAGATGTAGACCTTGTTTGGTATAAGCAATACTAGGGTTATGCTATTGTATAACTCTACGAAAATTTACACCCTCTCTCCCTCAGAAGGTAACGGCTGTGATCAATCGAAACCATCAAAATGCCCCACCAAGCCGAGCACACAAATAGACTCACAAAGTTTTATTGCTCATGAAGTCGAGAGTCAGCTGTGATGTTCTTAGAAGCCTCGTTATGTCCTTTACAACATTTGAATCTTCATAGAGATGCAGGACCAACAGACACCCCCCCCCCTCCTGTCCCATCTTATAATCGTTTTATGCTCTTTCGTTCTGTTCGTTATGAGTCTTCCATTTCTATCCATCTCATTTCTCTTGAGATGGTTTTTATGCTTTCCCAGAGCCTAAGCAAAGCTTCTAAATGAGTCATTCAGCCCTCCGATCATCACACTTCCATAGCAAAGTATTCATACGCGACTGCCGGTCAAATACTTGAGGCGATTGAGGTTGCCCTCGAAGCACGGATACCATGGGAGAGGAAACCATTGAAGTAAGAATACTACAATATTAATATTTTCATTTGGTAATTTTCACGTATTCAAAAGTAATCGTCTTTCTGGTTGAATTGTACAAGCTCGTGCTCATATGCGTGAAAGTGGAGGACCCCTTATAGGGTGAACGCGCGACCAGAGATAGTATGAGATCAGGAGAATCCGCTATTCTGGAAAATGCACGACCAGCGACTTGTGGTAAGTCGTAGAACTCTGCACACTAGCGCTTCCGAAGAGTGCGAATAAAATGGTTTTGCGCATTTCACAGGATATCCTGATTTGCTGGTGGACACAACCAGCTGGTTCTCATAAGACCCCTGTTTCGCGTATTCTGCGGATCTAAGCGTGCATTTTCTCTGGTCGCTCACTTGATTCTCGCTCAATTCATATCATTCCCCGTTTCTTGGATTCTTTTTTTCGCACAGTATAAACGCTATAAGATTTCTCATGTTTATTGTTCAGCAGCGTCCGTCAATATTTTATTCAAAGTAAAAGTTGTTTTCCAGAGAACGAGCGGACATCCTACTCCATGCAGCCGATTTGGCTGGGGGTAAATATCGCATGAAGCTGAACGCGGCTACCATGCTTGGGCAAGGGAAAAGCATTATTCAGGTACGTCCTGCAATACATAAATTGTTTCCATTATTTTTTAGTCAGCATTGACTATTTTCACGTAAGGTCGGCATATGTGTTGTCCCAGGTAGGGAGTAGTGAGGCTGTCGACGGAGCGCGTCCTGCCGTTAGGCAGAATTTCAGTGAAATATGCCCCTCTTTCGCCCCTCCGTCCCCAGCCCCACCGTAAATCTCCGCACGATGTTACCACAAATACTTACTATTTACAATACAAGGGGAACCGAGTACCAGATCGATCTTCTACAGCGACCAAGTATGAGTGCCGTTTAGGATTCTCGAATGAACGTGACATGTCCTGGTTGTAAAGCAGTTTCCCCATCGTGACCCTCGTAATCCGTCCAGTAACGAAGGAACAAGTGAACAATGACATATCCATGCGTCGAATACAACCCTCTCCCTCCTTCGCAACTAATTTTAGGTTCTCAAACCACTCCACCTCCTTTCCGCTCACTCCTTCACAGCGTGGATTCATCTAAGGTGATGTGCTATGGGGCTTCCTGCATCCCTTTTTGTGGGGCCCATTAATCTTCTGGCATTCTTTATTTCTCAAATTCTGAGCCCCATTTGGGAACATTACATGGTTTTTCGAGCAGTTCTGTATGTACTACGTTTTGCTTTCTTTTACTTTTTGATTACAACTATTCATTGAAAATTATGGATTGATTTACTTCAATCTAGGCTGAAATCGATTCCGCATGCGAGTTGATAGATTTCTTCCGTTTCAACGCAAAGTTCGCCTTAGACTTGGAAAACTACGATCCAATTAGCACAAAGATCAGCACCAATAAGATGCTTTACCGAGGCATGGAGGTATATAATTAGTATTTTATTCAAGCCACTTTCTACTATTTTACCTCTTATGTAGGGTTTCGTTGCTGCGATTTCTCCATTCAACTTCACTGCGATTGGTGGTAATCTGGCGTCAGCACCTGCTTTAATGGTGAGCGCAATAATTCAAAGCATTTAGACTTTCTACTCACTGCCAGAAGTTTGAATTCAGGGGAATGTTGTATTATGGAAGCCATCTGACACGGCAGTTCTCAGTAATTACGTCATATATGAGTTGCTAGAAGAAGCGGGTGGGTCTAATAGTAACTGCAAAATGTTTTTTTTTAATTCTCATTTATTACTGTTCCTTAGTACCTGTCTATTGCTAGACGGTTTTCGAGAGCTGTATGGAATTGCTTATAAAGCCTCTTTAGGTATTCCTCCTGGTGTGATCGCATTCCTTCCTTCCCATGGCCCAGATTTTGGTGAGATGATAACTACGAGCGAACATTTGAGGTACAATAACTCAGTCCAAGTTAAGGCTCGATTTTGTGCGCCAATGTAGCTTAGGGGCTCGCGAAGACGCGCGCAGTGTAACTTTTGCTCCTGAAATTTAGCCCTAGAAGAGCGCGGACGACCAGTCGAGCGCTGCCTAGTCTCAGCGTGCGGACTCGCTCCGATCCGTGACTTTCCTTGACTGCAATGGCGCCCCGTTCCGATTTCTCATGTATACTTTTTGAATACTATTCGTAACAGGGTCACTGTGAAATTCTTCGTAAATAGATCTCTTTTAGTGCCATAAACTTCACGGGCTCAGTTCCTACATTCAAGACTATCTGGCGAAGCGTAGCCGCGAATCTCGACAAGTATGTGACATTCCCAAAACTCGTCGGAGGTATGTTTTGCTCTTTAGTATTATTGCACTGTGCTCTTGCCTCTTCTGTTTGAACGGGTTTTCTGATCTGCAACTGACAGCTAGGGCAGCTTCATGGGCTGAAGATTCCTATTGCGGCGTGGGTGAGAGTGATGCAAAGTTCCTTCATTAGTCTGGGATAGGTTTCAGCTTTACCATGTCCAAGAATCTGACTAGTTGACACTTATCCTCAGATTGTCTGTTAGAAGGGTACGCCGTTTTTGCTAAAGGGCATGTCATAGGTTTGGGATCCCCAGGGACAGTTCGTATTTGGCCACTTGAGGGAGACGGCAGTTTTTGAGAAAAGGTGGCTAAAAGTGATAGGAGATGATTCGGTAATATAGTGGGTAAGAAGAGGGTCAGAGGAGAAACCCTCAAGGGGTCATTCGTATTCTGCAACCCATGGCATTTCCGAACAAGTTCCTCAGTCCGCGGTGGAAAGTCTTACCCTTTTTCTTAATTCTTCTAATTCTTCCATGAGATCATCATCCTCAAAGGCTCATCCCTTATGACTCGTCGCTCCCTTAGTAATTTGTATAATGATACCGCTTTACTACTGTTTTTGTAGAATAGTTCATAGAGACGAAGAGATTCAGTTTTAGACGTATTGTCTGCTGTGCATTGATTTTCTTGCTATTTTGCCATCGTGCCGTTATAATGTGCAACGTCGGTCGTGTCCTTATTAACGACACTGAAGCTGACGTTTTCCAGGCAACATCATTTCTTTTTCAGAATGTGGCGGGAAGAATTTCCATTTCGTCCATCCTTCAGCGAATGCTGACGTTGTAGCTGCAGGTGAGACCTCTATTGGTTTGGCGAATAATTTCTGTTCTTTTTATTCTACAAAAGTGTTTTATTCTTTTTTCAAGCGGCCTAATTTTTCGGGATTCTTTAGACGTAAGAGTGGGTTATCCAGGAGGCAAAAGCACTTCCGACAACTGGTATTCTTCGCTTCTCGTAGAGGTGGCCCGTTGAAGCAAAGAGTAGTTGAAAAATCAAACGAAAAAGAGATGCTGAGAGGTGGGGGGGGGGTGAGTTGAAACCAAATGGTAGTTCAGTATCGTTTCGCATATGCCCTTAGACGTAAGCCGAGCTAAGATATGGTCCCCCTTCTGCGGTCATAGCTAGGGGAAAGGCAGATTACTCAGTTCTGATACCCGCTCCGACATTTTGTGACCTGCATGAGGAGATAAAAGAGTGGAGAGTACGGTTGAAGCTGCAGAACCTTGTATCTGAATCAGGTTGCGTTCATACTTTGCGTCGTACGCTGGAGCTCGCTTGATCGATATCCATAATTTCCTGGTCGCTGGCGCTGGCGTATGCTGACGCAAAGTGTGAACGCAGGCCCTTGGTGGACTTAGCGGGCGGCCTTGGTTGTCTTTGCTAGGTTTGGTCACGCTATTGTCGAGCCGGATAACTTGTCCTCTCGCATAGGGTCTTTTTAGACGAATGCTCTCATTTATTCGTGACTCTGGACTGCACAAAGAGGTGTTGCGACCGTTTTTTCCTCCGCAACTGTCCCAAAATGTGCCAGTGCCTCACAATTCCACCAAAAGAGAAGCATGTCGTCGAAGTAGAAACTGCCATTTTTTTAAGCTCGACACTATCATTTAAAGTCTTGAGTGAATGATTTCAGGCACTGCTCGGTCTGCATGGGAATATGGCGGTCAAAAATGCTCGGCTTGTTCACGAATATATATCCCAAAAAGTCGATGGGAAGAAATTTTCAAGAAAATTTCCGACATTCACAAGCAAATCAAGCTGGGTGATGTGAGTATTCTGTTTTTTTTTAAATATCGATGGTGGTAGTGGTGGCCGAATTGTGCGATCATAAATAGTCGCGACTTGATTTAGGTGCGAGACGGCTCGATTTTCTTCTCTGCTGTAATTGACAAGAGATCTTTTGATAATATCAAGAGCTACATAGGTAGCTGATTTTTCGATATTTTCAACTTGCAAGCGGTTCTCTTGACGACTTCATTTTTGCTGAGCTCTTCAGATTATGCAAAGAGTGGCGCCGATGGTGCAGAAATCCTCCTTGGAGGAAAATGTGACGACACCAAAGGATATTTCATCGATCCTACGCTCATAAAAGTTACTAACGTGAAGAGTAAACTTATCAGCGAGGTATCTCGGCGCCTGTTTTCGTTACTAGCTAGGAAATTATGGCTCTAATTTTTTTTCAGGAAATCTTCGGACCTGTTCTTGCCGCATATGTGTACGACGATCTTGAAGTCGAGAAACTTCTGAGTTCTGTAAAGGTTCGTGTGGTCTATTGCTGCTCTGAAAGGGCCGGGGTGGGGCGGGGTTAGCAGAAGTTCTGTTTCTCGAGACTGTTGGAATCAAATCAATCAACGCGATCAAAAGTAATGAGGGGTTTCGAAGAATGTAGGTATTTCGATAATGCGATCCTTGTATGTAAATAATGCCATGCATTGAATATGTGCATGCATATTCTATATTTTTATACAAATGATCCAACAGAAAAAGAAACATTTTCATTTATTTGGTTTTGCAGCGCCCAATTATCTTCAACAAAAGTGCAAACGCAACACTCCCACATAGTAGGCAAATTCAGAAACCCAAACAACACTACTGGGTAGACGGAGTTCCCCGTAGCGGGCGGAGTTCCTACACGGTGTGCCGCTGAAAATAGATGTAACATTAATAATTTGTGGAAGAGAAAGCGGCTGGGGTTTCCCATAGTGGGCATGACCGCAGTGGGTGGAGCTCCGCGTGATAGTGGCTGATAATGTCCTCTTTTTCAGAAAAAAAATCTTGAAATTCTGCAAAACTGGGCGGAGCTTGCCGTTAGGGGGCGAATTCGTACGATATAAGTGAAATTGTAAGTAGCGGCATTTTATGCATTATATGAAGGCTGTCTTGGATTTGCTTTCAACATTTTGAACAACTGAATTCTGGAAAAAAAACATAAATGTGTTATAAATGCCCCTCAACAAAAGTGACCTTTAAGTGATCTCATAAAACTACGCCAACGCTATTCTGAAGGAAGGTACCTATTGTTGAAAGAAGCGTGGAAATGACTAAGAGCCAACAGGGATGAGGGTTCTTTAGAGATTAGGAACATTTTGGCGAGTGAACTTGTCCCTTCCTGCGAAAAGTTGTTGTTTTTAAAAGCCTAGCCTGCTCTGCACGAAAATGCCACCTATTCTGATGAAAAAGCGCCAATGATTCTTGTAAATTGGCACTTGAATTTATTTAAAGTCGCTTAACAGTTATTGTGCATGTTGTATTGTTGTACGCAAAATTGCGACGATTATGTGACAAGCTGTGCTAGAAAGCCTTTTTCATTTTCAGGATCATACTCCTTTCGGACTTACTGGTGCTGTCTTTTCTGAGGATAAGGACTTTTTATACCAGTGAGTTTAATTTGGCGTAAGCCGGCTAATGAAGGGGCATTCCGTGCACAAAAGGAGGATTACCGTGATAAAGTATGTGATTTTGTCCAAGCCCAGAGACAACGAGCTCCGGGGTGGGTGAACCAGTTTTTTTTTGTGCCAGAAAGGGGCTAGCCATTACGGTAATCCTAGATTTGCTCACGGAATCCTTTAGATGCCCTTAGCTCTTCGTTGACAAGCCTCCATAATTGTTTCGAGGCTTTTCGACTTTTATGTTGGCGTTTTTTTCCGTGCCATTTTGTAGAGGTCTTTCTTACCTTGTAGAATATTAACAATTTGTGCAAATTAATTTGGTGAAATATTCAGTGCACGCGACATCTTACGTGATGCGGTGGGAAATATGTACTTGAACGATAAATCCACGGGTTCCGTTGTAGGACAACAACCATTTGGAGGAGCTCGCATGTCAGGTAAGGAAGCGCTGAGAATCCAGCCTCAGCAGTACCACCGGATACTGTGACCCAGGCAGCCGTCATATAAACTGTAACCGTGCGTGTCTTGAGACGTTGAACGATATGTCACACACTTCCGGGGTGGTCTTAAAGAATCCCATGGAGAGGGGCGGTGTCGTAGTCGTGTTGAGATTTCAACGGTTTTTTTTTTTCGTTTCAGGACTGTTTAACACCGATCCCTTCCCCCATTTTCACGAACATTTGGACAAAACTAAAATGCTTTGGGGTCCTGACGGTAGGTTCGAGACTCTTTTTGGGGGTCTTCTGATGCCACCATTTCACACAACCCTATGATGTGCCCTGCTACCTTATGGGCCTTTGCCTTTTAGTGTGCTTAAGGCAGGTTTACGATTTGTCTGACGCCAGTGTATGTGACGGTGGTCCAGCGCTAGTTTTAAATTTACATTTCCGTAATCTTTGACACACCGCTAATTTTTTTCCAGGCACTAATGACAAGGCTGGAGGTCCTCATTATGGCCTCAGATGGACGTCTCCGCTCACCATCAAAGAAACTAGTGTGCCTCTCACTGAGTGGCGTTATCCGTCAATGGATTAGCTACCATTAAAAGGAAGAAAACCTCAGAATTTCACGTCTTGTATATCTTCGCTCTTTAAGTGCATACTTCATGACATAATCTCTGCATTATTACGATTTTTTGGCATATTTCATTTGTTTCTGTTGTTACTTATGCTCAGTAGTTCCTTCAGGACATTGCTATAGCATAATAGATTGATTTAGTCTCGGATCAGATCCGCTTTACTGTTCCGGTTACTGTATAGTTTTAAAAACTTGTTAAGTAGCCTTCCATAGTGATCATATTTGTCTACTCTTCGATTTGTTCCTCGACTTTAAGATTACGGTGGGCTTTAATGAGTAATAATGAAGTGTTTCCTGCCATCAAGTGTTTCACATGGATGATGGTAGCCAAGCCTAGATTTATTTTTTTCAACTCATCACAAGTTAAAAAGAACTTGACGCTACTGCAATATGGCTCCGCAGTGCAATATGTTGGGCAGCGTTCATGCTTTGCGTCAGCGTTTTGAGCGCACGGCTAATGCCGTTTGGACGCAAGCAATTTTGGCAGCGAGCTCATAAAGTGCCAAGATCACCAAATCCGCTGAGAACTTGTATCCATGGGTAATTTGACATCCTGATTACGAATATGACACTCATTCTTGGAGCTGGACACTACAGTTACCTGCTAGGCTCAATCTTAGCAGCGCATATAATCGTAGTGTCATCCATTAGCGCCAGCGCCAAGAATGAGTGTCCATATTCGTAATCAGGATGTTGAATTACCTCTGTATACAAGTTTTTAACGGATTTGGTGATTTAGGCGCTTTAAAAATGAGCTCGCTGCCAAAACTGTGTGCTTCCAAATGGCATTAGACCACTTCAGCATTTTGGACTTTTCCGGACAGTCGAAAAACGCTGGCGTACGCTCGCAACGATGACGCAAATCATGAACGGAGCCTTACTTGTTAGCACATGTCAATAAGTGGCAAGACATCTTATGACGCGCATGTTACGATAGATGACGTCACTAAAGGGTGTCTTGCAAAAGTCATTCGTTCCACGTCCATTCTCACCGTTTTTTTTCTCAAAGTTGGACGCATTGAATGTGGCTGAGCGCAAAATGGGCTCGCGTTTTTGTGAGCAAGGTTCACCACCAGGGCTGCTTCTGTCTGTCCCGCGCCAGTTGCCAGGCGTCGTGACGTCACGACATGTTGCAATGCTAATATTGGCGTTATTGTGCTGAAATGCAGACTTACTGGAGTAGTGCAAGTATTTAATTTCTTATTTCTTAGTATGGGTTACGCCGATGGTAAGGATTGGACCAATGTATCGTTTGAAGGTTAGTTTGGGATCGTTCTGTGTTTGCATGAATTTTCCTTTAAGCAGTTATGTTTGTTTATTTCTTATCAGTTCTTGAATCGAATGCTATCTGATAGGGTGCATTGTATAATGGATATCTAATCGATGATAATATCTGTCAAATGAGAAGCTCAATGATGGTGTTGTAGAAAATTCTTGCAAACACCCCCCCCCTCGGAATTTCCTCTGGAATGACCTCTCTTACCCTTTCTCGAAAAAACCGCCGTCGAGCAGCGGGGAGGGTGGTTAAATAGGCATTTGGAAGAAGAAAACTTGAGAAGAAAAATAACAGACAGAATACATTTTGCTCAAAGAAACAAGCGACCTTTTCCCTTCCGGCGACCTATTACGGAACTCTCGCTGAGAGGCCTCGAACGTACGACGTACTCAGTTCCCAATGAATCAGTGGATCCCACCCCTTGTCGTGATCGCTGTAGCACCAAAGTGGCCCCGTGCTTTTTGGAAACGGCTCAACTGGTGAAGCTTTTTTCTCTGCAGGCAAAGGAAGGTGAGCAAGCCCTCTTGGCGAGGTGTTTAAATGATGCCGATGAAGAAGGGCGTGTCTTGGTCTCGTTGCCGAGTACTTCTGCCTTTTTAGAAGAACCATGGGTTGTTAGAATTTCGAATTGTGATGCTGTAAGGCTACTGAAAGTTAAAAGAAGTAAAATCCTTGTAGAGAATATCGAATTTTATCTTTTGCGTATGTTGAAACTACAACCAAGACATTAACACAGCTCCATTCGGCTTACATGTTCTCTAATCGCCTTTTTCGGAGCTTAGAAAGTTGCATAAGTATAAACTGCCGTTGAATGCCATTTCGAACCGAGAACAACTTGATGGTGCACTTTATGTGCTAATAAATAAATAAATAAGTAAACAAGTCACGGCACACTAAGGTCGAGGGTCTTGTGGCTCTCCTAGAGGTTGTGGATTTCAACCGCATTAGACTGGAGATCATACTTACCTTTATCTTTTTTGAATTTTAAGTATCCGGCATATCCGGCAGAGGCGATTTCGCGAAATTTGAGGCAAACAAAGCTAAAGCATCAAAGCGAGATTTTGTTTCCCTTCAGAACCTGATATTTTCTTTTTAGCAAAGGCAATATATCTCTTTTATCGTGTTCCTTTTTGAGTAGGTCGACGGCAACTCCGTGAATGGCGGGACACAAATAGCAGGCGTAGTGAAGAAGTTGTGGAATTGTGGGAGCACGTTGTGAGTCGATCACCATCGCTCCTTGGTGATGAGCTGTGGATGGTGTACGAACAGGTCAGCTTTTCTCTTTCCGAGTTTCACCTTTGCTTTTTATGTTCCTTTTTGTATGTTGAGATACGTTCGACTCGAATAATTTGTTCAGCTGACAAGGTTTATTACATGACTAAAAACTGATAATTTTAATTTAATCTATTTTTTTGTTCGTATTTTTCGTGTAGTTGTCCTGAACATGTTCACCCCACAATATAAACTGCCGGAGCTATCCCTGTTAAGAGTACGTCATACTTTGCGTCAGCGTTTCGAGCGACTATGAAATGAGATATAGGTATCAATTCACAGTTTCGAGCGCAGGCCGGCGTACACAAGCGTACGCTCTGGATCGATACCTATACTTCCCTAGTCACTCAAAATGCTCAACTTACTATACTCCAGACGTTGACGCAAAGTGTGAACGCACTCCGAAAAAGGTCCTTCGCCGGCAAGGCTACTCGTTTATGCTTTCGTTTGTGCTTTTTGGCAAGATAAAGACTTCTTCCTTGATCCACGCTTAGCTTTGGGAGGGGCAGATGAGTTGTTTAGTCTCACTGCCTCCCCCCACCCTTTAGGCTGCGTTCATATTTTGCGTCAGCGTCCACCAGCGTTTCGAGCGTACGCCAGAGCGACTAGGAAAGTAAAGATATCGATCTAGCGAACGCGAGCGTCCACCAGCGTCCACCAGCGTCTCGAGGGACTAGGGAAACTATTGACTTAGCGTACGCTGGTGGATGCTGGCGTTCGGAAATATCTATACTTCCGTAGTGTGGTGTGCGCTCGAAACACTGGTGGGCGCTGACGCGAAGTATGAAGGCAGCCTTAACTGCGTGGGGCCGAAAATTTTCTCGGAACTCCTATAATTTAGTGATTGTAATTCCCTAATTTTTTGGATCTTTCAAACTGCAATTACCTAACCTAATGGTGCATTATGTTCAGGTTTGTGTAGCCGCTCTTGACTGTGCCAGGCTAGACCTGGCTAGTGAATGTATATCGGCTCTGAACCGTCGTTTTCCTAGAAGTAATCGCGTTCTGCGGCTACAGGCTATGCATCATGAAGCAGCTGAACAGTACGTCATATTTCATGAAATTTCTGCAAAATGTTTCTTTATTATCAGTAGTTTCTGCAGATTTGACACTGCTATGGCATTGTACGAGCGACTTATAGAAGACGATCCTACGAATAACGTATGTGGATCTGTGATTTTTTTTTCGATTTTTGAGCTTATTCGCAAGAGACGGACATCACAATCGTTATTTGTCGCGTCGTCACCGGCTGCATATCATGCGGCGATGCGTGGCAAATTCTCAGTGCGATTGGAACAGCGAAACTCATATGAATCAAACGTAATGAGGGAATATATCCGATTTTTCCGTTCATTTAACACCCAAATTAAAAAGGCCAGACAGGACAACTCGTCCACAGACATGGCTCGCCACTCCCATCAGCGCGGCATGTCACGATTGTCTTGTCACATACCCGATTTTCAGAACAAAATGCCGTAGTAGCGCTTCGCTTCAAAGAAACAGTAATTCTATGTTTTTAGTCGTTTCGCAAAAGGAAAGTCGCGGTTTTATTGGCACAAGGATTGCGTCTTGAGGCAATACGTGAGCTCAACGATTACCTGAAGGTGAATGGGTTTTGCTATTCTGTCGAGTTGGGGGTTGGGGGGGTCACCATCGTGGTTCATAGTTGGTGATTTCAGATATTTCTCAATGATTCAGAAGCGTGGCTCCAACTGAGTGAACTTTTTCTGGCTGAATCAGATTTTGCGAAAGCTGCGCACTGTTTAGAAGAATGTGTTTTGGCAGCAGTGAGTTTTCCTGAGTTTGCCGTATTCGGGGGATAGGAGAAATACACCTCTACGGATCGTCAATTTTTTTGATTATTTTGAATTTAGTTTTTTCTGATAGATGCTGAATTTCTTCTCACCCAGGCCAACCAAAGCCTGCCCTTCGGGGATAGCAATTTGGAATCAAATTCGTTTGGAAGAATAGAAAATGACTTGTACGGTTGCCTAGCCCCCCCCCTACCCCGCAAGTAACTGTATAGGCCTCATACACTCATTAAACCTTCGCGATTCCGAATGGAAGCAGTGTGCGTGCCGCATACCAAAAGGGATTGATCAAGGGGAGAGCTTCATCCTCTGTTGCTTGAGTTTGTGCCTGAACTCAAAGACAAACCCTTCTATTACCTACCAAAATAGAGGGTCCTTTCCGCGCTATAGGTACGTACATCTGCGTGTTCATAGGCATAGTTGTTCATCATCCAAAATAGCATGACAGAGGCGTCAGGCTTCGATGGTAAACCGAAGATCCTCCCAACGTGAGGTTCTATCCATCCTTTACCACCACAAAACTCAAAAGTGAAAGAACTACCCTTGATCCAGAAGCGTCCAGGGAATCAATCGATTGGTTGTCATAGAGCTGGAAGCTCCGGGAACTCGTCCAGACGCTAGCAAACTAGTGCAATTTTCAAAGAAGTTTTGGTAGGGCTGTACTTGACCATTTCTTTTGCTATTTACTTCGATGTTAAGTAACTTAGCATTTACAAATTTATATGCTGGGCACACTACCCACGCCTTTTCACTGCGCAGTGTACCCTTTGGAGTGTCGGTGTTGTGCGTTATATGCTTGAAGGTTTACATTTTTACTTTACAGCCTCTCAACACGTTGTATCTACGGCGTTTGGCAGATATTCGCTATACACAGGGGGGTCAAGAAAATATCGAGCTGGCTAAAGCTTACTATGAACAGGCCGTCAAGCTCAATCCTTCCGATTTGCGGGCGTTGTACGGAATCGTTATTGTAAGGACTGATTGTAATGTTATTCGCCATCAATTTGCCTTCTGAAAAAAAATCTTATTTTTCAGTGCACGAATTATTTGACACATCATCAGAAGGGATCAGGTACTGAAAAGAAGCGGGATTTGTTAGTTGCGGGTACCAGTGCCATCGATAAGATTCTGGCTAGATATGATGAGGTAGGAGTTGTCTATTTTTGCTTCGGAGCTTTCAGTGCAGGAGTTCCTTACGCAGTTTTATTAAATCATTGTAGAAGAACCAAAAGCAGAGTTGTCCTGCCGTTGGCGGCAAATTTTGCAAAATGCGATTCCGAAATGTCCTCCTCGTTCCCGCCTCACCCCCTTTCTCCAATCTCTATTCTACCTTTCGTCCTGGATTCTCCCAACTTCCTACTACGCTCACTTTTCCGGTTTTTTTTCCATCGATATCCTTCAATTTATCCCCGAAGGACTGCCGTCGATTAGAAATAAAAGTTTTTTTCTTGATTTTTTTCGGAAGCAAGCAAAAAAATACGTTCCCGCCCAGCAACCAAATACAACCCCATCGCTGGCGATCTTCAAGGTGCAACGTGTCCTGGCTGATAACCCTGGAGATGAGGGTAACGTAATGGAGATGACGTCTTTTGCCTAAACATGGAGCGAGAATAGATCTCCGGGAGGAGAACCTATTTTGAACACACAGTGATTCTGTACGGATGCTATTAGTTCCAATTTTACAAACAGTTCTATGAACGGCACCCGAAGTTATGAGCGCCTATTTTTATTGATTTCGCCTTCAGTTTTCTTTACTTTTCGAATTGTAAACTAAATCTTTGTGGGACTTTTTCCGTAGTGTTACTCTGGCTCCTGAATTCCGAATATCACGTCCTTTTGGCGCGAAAAGGCTTCATGTCATCGCCAAATATCCCCCTCCCTCACTTATTGGGGTATGCAGGCTTCCATTGAAATCTAACCTAAATTCTGAAGAGTGGATTCTAAGTGGTGAACAGTGCAGATTCTCTCTTTTTTCGAACTTAATGCTGGGTTTTCAGATTTCCATCAAACTTTGATACTTTTCACTGATAGAAATTCAACTCAGAGCCTTGTTCCTGAAGTAACTTTGCTCTTCTGAACAGAAATGTGACATCGGTTTGGCGCTCGCTCGCTCTGCTACAGGCGTAGGGGTCTTACATGGGCGCATGCGAAGTTACTTTTGAATGTTTTGGCGTAGGCACCAGACGCTCGTGCCGAAGCGGTGGGACGCGCATGTTCAAAGGGCCAAAGTACCTATCCCTCTGGCTATTTTCCTGTGCGGACAAATTCTACTTTAACCCGTTTTTTGAAAAGTACGGTCGTAAAGGGCAATTAACCCCGAACTTACTATTGTTGTGGATACTAAATTATTCTGTTGTCCTTCAGGTCGAATCAGTCGGTGTGAACCCAAAGATATCTCTTGTGATTGAACTCAGCTGAAGCAATGAAAACTCCATTGACTACCTCCAATAAGTATATATTTCAACGCGTTGGCTAGACTTTTTCTATACTGTCATTGTTTGTTTCTTTTTTTTTGTCATTGCTTGTTAAATGAATTAATAAATAAATAAATAACGGCCACTACTAAGCACTTACTGCCTGCCCGGCCTGTACGCATGCTTTTTTTTTTTTTGTAAGGCGTTAATGTCATTGAAGTATCCACTTGATGACGATCAATACACATGTAATTTATTAGGAAACGAACATTCCACTGAGCGCTAGTAGCCTCGAGAGAGAGGGGGGCGCCTGTAAGCGCTTGTCGTCATACCAAGTCCTGTAATCTGTGTGGGAGTTGGACAACCTTATCAACATCCTGTGCTATCCACCACTCTGCAAAATCCTGTCAAACTTGCTAAAATAAATGGTCAAGATTTGGGAAGATTAGGAGGAATGGCATTTAAATGCCATGGACCAAGCTTGACAAGAGTTCACAGGATGTTGACCTGAGCTTACAGAGTTTGCAGGAAGAGACACGACTGTAAAAAGGCGTAAGGAAAACAGCGACGTCCACACACTGACAGGCGCTCACAAGTTTGCCCCCCCCCCTTCCGCCGGCTACTAGCGCCTTCCTCTGTGAGAACGAGAACTAAATCATATCTTGAGGTGTTTTTTTTCGCCGCGCTTGAATGCATCCGGATTGTCTTCCTCATGTCGCTTACTTATCTTCATGAATGTTGCTCTCTCTCTCAGAATTGATTCGTGTAGATCATCGAAATTCTTCGCTGAACAAAAACGAGCTGACTGGGTGTATTTGCCTTTTCTACATAGCACCAGCAGATGAATTACCAATCTCAATGGTTAATTTAACAAGTGTCGTTTTGAATGAATATCAGTTTCTTCAGTTGTATTGAAGATAAATAAGTTTGTCGTTATCAGTTTTTCTTTCGTCATAGCAAAAGGACGGGTATGTGGCGATTCTATCGGCGCGATGGTGAACGTGACCTGTGAAGCCGCGCCCTTTGTGTACG